AAATAAATGGGAAAAAAAAAAGAAAAAAAGAAAAAGAAGAAAGAAAACTAAAAATATAACTATCATATAATCCAGCAATCCCCCTGCTAGGTATATACTTCCCCTAAAAAGAAATCAGTATATTGAAGAGATATGCACTCTCATGTTTAGTGCAGCACTATTCATAATAGCCAAAATTTAGAAGCAACCTAAATGTCCATCAACAGATGAATGGATAAAGAAAGTGTGCTATATAGGCACGTATACACCATGGAATACTATGCAGCCATAAAAAACGATGAGTTCTTGTCCTTTGTAGGGACTTGGATGAATCTGGAAACCATCATTCTCAGCAAACTGACACAAGAACAGAAAATCAAACACCGCATGTTCTCACTCATTGGCAGGTGTTGAACAATGAGAACACGTGGACTCAGGGAGAAGAGGAGCACACACTGGGGCAGTTGTAGGGGGGACTAGGGGAGGGACAGCAGGGGGTGGGAAGGGTGGGGAGGGATAACATGGGGAGAAATGCTGGATATAGTGTGTACCTATGCAACAACCCTGCATGACTTGCACATGTACCCCAGAACCTAAAGTAAAATTAAAAAAAAAGAAAAGAAAATGTGCTACATATACACAATGAAGTACTATTCATCCATAAAAGGGAGATCCTGTCATCTCTAATGACGTGGGTAGGGCCAAAGGTCATTAAGTGAAATAAGCCAGGAACAGAAAGACCGACTTGTCATGTTCTCCCTTACTTGTGGAAGCTAAAAATTAAAACAACTGAACCCATGGAGATAGAGAGTAGAACAATGGTTACCAGAGGCTGGGAAGGGTCTGGAAGTGGGGGAGAGTAGGAATGGTTATGGGTACAAAAATAAAGTGGGATATCCCTGGGAGGGATGGCACATACCTATAGTCCCAAGCACTTTGGGAGGCTGATGCGGGCGCATCACCTGAGGTCAGGAGTTTGAGACCAGCCTGGCCAACATGGTGAAATCCCGTCTCTACTAAAAATACAAAAATTAGCTGGGTGTGGTGGCAGGTGCTACTCGGGAGGCTGAGGCAGGAAAATAGCTTGAACCTGGGAGGCAGAGGTTGCAGTGAGCTGAGATTACACCACTGCACTCCAGCCTGGGCTACAGAGTGAGACTCTGTCTCAAAATAAAATAAAATAAAATAATTAAGTAAATTTTTAAAAATAAAGCGAGATAGAATGAATAAGCTCAGTATTTGATAGCACAACAGGGTGACTACAGTCAACAATAATTTATTGTACATTAAAAATAGCTAAAAGACTATAACTGGATTATTTGTAACATAAGGAAAGGATAAATGCTCGAGGTGACAGATACCCTATTTACCCTGATGTGATTATTATGCATTGCATGCCTATAACATCAAAACATCTCATGTACCCTATAAGCATGTACACCCAATATATACTCAAAAAAGTAAAAATTAAAACTAAAAAAAAAAAGGAAATTGGCAGCCCAGGGAGTCAGATAGTCATCCAGATAAATTATGGAGTCTCGCAGCTGATGACAGGACATGGGGTGGAAAGGAGAACTAAAAGCTAGATTCAAAAATACCTACTACTGCATAAGGAGGCTGGGATGATAGTTTTAAGGTTGTGTAAAAAGTTATCAAGCCAAGTAGCCTGAGCCTCAAAGGAGTAGACATTTGTTGACACAGAAGTGGGATTTGGCAGTGGGAAGCTAGTAGAAAGCTTCTGTCCTGTCCTTCCCAACTCCCATCTTCTTTTCTTTTTTCGAGTTCTGCTTCACAATGATAGGAAGAGCCAACACTGAAGGATCAAAAATCCACATTGTTATGAAATCTTGGCCAACACAAGCATTTGTTTTTTTTTTTTTTTTTTTTTTTTTTTTTGAGGCAGAGTCTCGCTCTGTCACCCAGGCTGGAGTGCAATGGCACCATCTCCACTCACTGCAACCTCCACCTCCCGGGTTCAAGCAATTCTCCTGCCTCAGCCTTCCGAGTAGCTGGGACTACAGGCATGTGCCATCATGCCCGGTTACTTTTCGTATTTTTAGTAGGCACGGGGTTTCACCATGTTGGCCAGGCTGGTCTCGATCTCCTGACCTCAAGTGATCTGCCTGCCTCAGCCTCCCAAAGTGCTGGGATTACAGGCATGAGCCAACAAGCTGTTTTTTCGTTTTTTGTTTTTAGATTAGTCAAGTGAAGCAGTGTAAGTGGAGAAGGAACAAAGAAATATGTAACTGGTTGTGATCAATTAGTTGTAAACACCACTGCACTCCGACCAGCCAGCCCATCTTTTTCACAGGCAGAAATCGAGGGAGAAAGCCTGGAGCAGGCTGTGGGGAAGCAGGAGCCTCGGGAGAGAGCCCAGTCCAGTCAAGGCAGGAGCTAGAGGGCAAAGTTCAGTGAAGAAAGCCGGGACGTACGGGAGTTTGTTTCTCATTGAGCAGGGGTTCCAGTGGTCATAGTGGAAAGGGCTCTAAGAAAAGCAAACAGTGAGAAACACAGGCTCAGGTGTGTATGGAGGAAAGAAAGCATCTGGGATATGACATTAGTTCCGACCTGTTTTCCAGTCTTGTGAAGGTGGCAGCACGTTCTGTATTGACATTATTTCTTTAATGGCATTCTTTTTAAAGTGTTTAATTCAAACCTATATTTGTAGTTTCTAAAATGTTGATCACAGACCATTTTGTTGTTACACATGTCTGCCAATGAAAACAAAAGGCAAAGAGAATCACTGCCATCCCTATGAAAGGAATGGCTCCTTTTCTAACATTCTTTAAAAATATACATTTTACACTCCCTGCACCTCAACAAAGGTGGCAATTCAATCAATACCTTGGTTTATTTTGTTCTCCTCACTATTACATGCATGTCCCCAAGCTATCTGTTGTAAGCCCTGTCTTTTTGGACTTCCCAAGGGCTTTGTCCATCGTTTCCCCCCGATCCCCGGCATCTGGGACAGTACCACTTGCGCTTTGGTTTATCGCTGAGACCCATGCACGAGAAGTGGAACCACCCGATGGAGCACTCGTTGTCGCAGCGGATCATCTCCCAGTAGGAGGGCTCGCTGGGATCGATGGGGAAGTCCGCGGGGGACGCCTGCCGCTACGTCTTGGCCAAGGAGCGCTGCTTCTTCTTGGAGGTCTCCGCTTTCATTTCCTTGGGCGTGGCCGAGGTGACGTTGTGGTCGCGGTTGTTGGACGCGTTCTCGCGGTTCTCGTTGTTGTGCTGCCGCCAGGAGCGCTTTCCTGTTGGGTTTCTCCGCCTGCGCGGTCGCCTCGCCTCTGGGCCGGTACCGGCCGACCCTACGCTGTCGCCCGCCGCGTCGCCCTGCTCCTGCTGCGCCTCGAACGGCTCCACGTGGCTGTCCACCTGTCGCGTGCGGCTCTCCACCAGCCCCACCCTCTGGCTCACGATCTGGATCTCCGGGTCGCCCGGATCCTGGCTGCGGATCAGGGCTCGCTGGGTTCAGGGTGGCACCCGCGGCTTCTGCACGCCGTCCCTGTCGCGGCGGACGTTGTAGCACTCGTCCAGGTCCTTCAGGTTCTCCTCCAGCAAAGTCTCCGCGCCAAGGGCCCCGGTCACTCACGCCTCTCCCGCCACGCGCGGCCACACCCTCCAGTCGGCAGGGATGCGGCATGGGACTGTCTACTAGCCCGTCTCGCGGGTCGCCCGACCAGGGCGGGCGGCACGAGCTGCAGCCCAGGCCCCCAACCCCCAGCACTGGTCCCGGGCCAGCATTGCTGCGCCGCCGGAAGCGCAATGCCGTTCTTAACTGTGCTCCGTTGCAACCATTTTTACTTTCATTTGAACATGTTTCTAACTCTGCCTTTGTTTTCTGCTTAAAACTCACATGATCTGATTGGCATGTGTCCAAGCAAACATACTCTAGCCCTTATGAAATGTGCTCTCTGTAGCTAAAACTCTGTTATTCCAATGTCTTCAGTCATGGTCCAAAAGGCCAAGTTGTTTTCTCACACTGTCAAATAGCTCTGCATTCACGGCTGTTATATCTTTCCTGCTCTTCCAGAATCTCTGCTTTCAGTTGGAAAAACTGGAAATGCCCCCTTATGTTCCCAAGGTTTTCAGCTTTTGCCCAGGCATTGTTCTGTAGAAGTGCTTTGCCAGTTACATGTGGAAGTGCTATTGAACCCTGTGTAAGGCACTATGAGCAGATACAGGTCAGAAAGTTTGATAAATTATGTGACATAGTTTAGAAAAACAGCACCTCTGCCCGGCGGTGGCTCACACCTATAATCCCAGCACTTGCTGGAAGGCCGAGGTCGGCGGATCATGAGGTCAGGAGTTCTAGACCAGCCTGGCCAAGAGACCAGCCTGGCCAATATGGTGAAACCCCTTCTCTACTGAAAATACAAAAATGAGCCGTGCGTGGTGGCAGGTGCCTGTAATCCCAGCTACTCGGGAGGCTGAGGCAGGAGAATTGCTTGAACCTGGGTGGCGGAGGTTGCAGTGAGTCAAGACTGTGTCACTGCACTCCAGCCTGTGCAACAGCCTCAAAATAAATAAATAAATAAATTTAAAACTTATGTCTTTTTGGCAATTAAAAAAAATATAGCTAGCTCATCAGCTACCATTAATGTTAATGTATTTTATTTGTGGCCCAAGACAGTTCTTCTTCCAGTGTGGCCCAGGAAAACCACAAGATTGGACATCCCTGAAAGGGTATATCCTGGAAGTATATATCTCCAAGAGAGTCTATATTAGAGCTGCTTATTGTTTCTCTGACTGCATAGTATGATATTGCTAGCAGTACCATCGCTTCTTGAATCAATGTCATACTGGTGGACTTTTACGTTACTTTTGATTTTTTGCCCTTGCAGATTGTTTCAGTGAATATTTTTGTACATGTAACATTTAAAATATATACTTATAGACCTGGCATGGTGGCTCATACCTGTAATCCCAGCACTTTGGGTGGCTGAGGCAGGCAGATCACCTGAGGCCAGGAGTTTGAGACTAGCCTGGCCAACATGGTGAAACCCTGTCTCTACTAAAAATACAAAAATGAGCTGGGCATGGTGGCCCATGACTGTAGTCCTGGCTACTTGGGAGGCTGAGGCAGGAGAATCACTTGAACCTCGGAGGCGGAGGTTGCAGTGAACCAAGATCTCGATACTGTACTCCAGCCTGAGCGACAGAATGAGACGCCACCAAAAAAAAAAAAAAAGACAAAAACCAAAAACAAACAAAAACCAGGCTGGGCGCGGTGGTTCACACCTGTAATCAAAGCACTTTTGGAGGCCGAGGCGGACAAACCACTTGAAGTTGGGAGTTTGAGACCAGCCTGGCCAACATGGCAAAATCCCATCTCTACTAAAAATACAAAAATCAGCCAGGTGTGGTGGTGCGCGCCTGTAATCCCAGCTACTCGGGAAGCTGAGGCAGGAGAATCGCTTGAATCTCGGAGGTGGAGGTTGCAGTGAGCCACTACACTCTAGCTGGGGCAACAGAGAGAGGCTCCGTCTCAAAAAAATAAAACAAAACCAAAAAAAAAATCTATGTGTATACTTGTAGAATATATAGAATAAATTTGTAGACTATAAATAAATCTGTAGAATGAATAAATATAGAACACATTCCTTGAAGTAGAATTTCTAGATCAATGAATATGGCACTATCCCTTTTGACTGGCTATGAGGAAGTTCTATTTAGCGATCTCTTGGACACTGAGGCCGGCCGTGAGCCATCCTCTTCCAGTCTCTGCTGTTGCTACCGAGGGTAACTGTTTCCACTTGCAGAATCCTCCCTCTTCTTTTCTGGAGTAGGTGATAAAACATCTTGTCTAGTGGATCTGAATAAATCCTTCATGGAGAATGCTTTGTATCTGTGGTGTAATGTGGCTGGTTCAACTTTTTTTTTTCTTTTCACAATCTTTTACTTGTCATCATAATCCTGGTTATGGAAGCCCTCTGCTGACTTCCTGCTATCTTCCTTCTTTTTCTCTTGTTTCCTTCTCCTCCTCCTCCTCCTCCTCCACTACCACCAGACTTCATATAATTTCACCGATTAGAAGGACACTTTTCTTTCTTTTGCCCTTTCTCCTCCCCTTCATTTCAACTCCACTAGGCTACAGTTCCCAGTTATTCAGTGAAATGAATCTAGGTGTTGCTGTAAAAGTATTTTGTAGATGTGATTAAAGTCCACAGGCATTTGACTTTAAGTAAGGGAGATTATCCTTGATAATCTGGGTGAGTCTGATTCAGTCTGCTGAAAGGCCTTAAGACCAGAGCTGAAGTTTCCCAGATGGAGAAGAAATTCTCCCTGTGAACAGCAGCTTTGGTGTGTGCCTGAGAGTTCCAGCTTGCTCTTCCTGGTGGCCCACCCTATGGATTTCAGACTCTCTTAGCCACCCCCTACAACAGTGTTGGCCCATTTCTTGCAATGAATCTCTTCATGTGTATCTTCTACTGGTTCTCTTTCTCTGATTGAACCCTGCCTGATACATCCTTGAAGGTATTTCCTCCATCCAGTCTGGGAACTTATTTCATTGATAAGACAAGCATAGGGAGGCACTCCCCAGACTCTTATCTGCCCCTCAGGGGGAACACCAGTTTCAGTGAATACTTACAGAGAACTGTCATTGTCTCTGATAGAAAAGAAAACATTCTGCAGGGCCTAGGGAGAGTATTCTAATATCAGGAGCCATGTGCCACGGTAGTCAAGTGGAACTACCCTATTGTTGCTTAGTTAGTTGGCTGATGTCAAAATGCTGTTAATTGCATAAAAAAGAGAGTAGACCATGCGCATTGGCTTATGCCTGTAGTCCCAACTATTAATACTTGGAAGGCTGAGGTGGGAGGTATCAGCCCAAGAATTCAAGGTTGCAGTGAGCTGTGACTGAGCCACTGCACTCCAGTGTGGGTGATAGAATCAGACCGTCTCTAAAAAAAGAAAAGAAAGAAAGTAAAAATTATTGAGCATAAAAATGAAGGCGGGCAAAGTCTAAAATATGTATGAGGCTGGCCGAGGCTGAGACGGGAGGATTGCTTGATCCCAGGAGGCAGAGGTTGTAGTGAGCTGTGATCATGCCACTGCACTCCATCCAGCCTGGGTGACAGAGCGAGACCTCATCTCA